CTCAATGAGTGCAATGAGTCAGGGTGAGCTTATATTTTAAAAAATGTCAATAATTAACAACATACAAGGTCATTTTCTAATTATTAATGTTTTTAAAGATATAAGCTCATCCCGATGTTACACTCATCGAGATCTTTCATTTGAGTACCCACATCAATTTTTCATATATTTATATATATTATATATATGTATATATGAAAAATATATAAAAATGCATGTGGGTACTCAAATGAAAGGTCTCGATGAATGTAACACCATGATGAGCTTATATCTTTAAAAATATTATAAGTTGACAAAATACAATATAATTTTTTAATTATTGACATTTTTAAAGATATAAGCTCATTCCGACATTACACTCATCAAGACCTTTCATTTGAGTACCCACATCAATTTTTCATATATTTTGTATATTATATATATGTATATATGAAAAATATATAAAAATGTATGTGGGTACTCAAATGAAAGCTCTTGATGAGTGTAATATCGGGATGAGTTTATATCTTTAAAAAGGTCAATAGTTAAGAAAATACAGTGTAATTTAACAAAAGTCATTATTTAATAAAAAAAAATTTTATTTTTTATAGTTCACAATTCACGGAAGTCACATAGTGACTGCAAGGTTGCTAGTTTTTAATATTGTAAAGATAAAAATTGACGTTAAAAAAAATATTCAATTTTTTTTTTCAGAGATATTTTGTATGCTGATGCGTGTGCAGTAACATTGAGCAAATGGAATCAACATTATTATGAATTAGGCATGCTTTTAACTCAATTAAATAATCGTGAAAGTGAAAAGATAAAAGAGACTCTGATACTGGTGAGTATTAATTTTATTAATTAAATTTTTATAATTTTTTTTTTCTATCAAGTGAATAAATTTTACAGATTTTCAAATCACGAATAAGACTTGTGATGGATTTGACTCAAAATCCTCATTCTAATCCAACGTTGGCTAGCCAGTTACCAATGTTGGAACGTAATTTATTTATAACTGGCCGAAAAGCGCGACTTGTTTTGATAGAATGGTTGAAGCAAGGTAGTGGTAATATTGAAAAATCAGAACTAGTGGCTAATCTTATGAAAAAACGTAAGCGTGATGAATTTGAGACTGATAAATAATCGTTCTAATAAATAAATAAATTAAAAAAATAATTACTTAATTCAGCAATTAATTTAATTAAAAAATTAAAATACAATATCCCTTTATTTAACAAATACAATCGATTTTTTTTTAATAGTAATTAAATAACAGATATAAATTATATACAATTTACAATTGGTAAAAAGAAATTAAAAAAAAATCAAGTAACAATTAGTCATACAATATAACTTAATTATATAAATTTTACATATTTTTTTGTTTTAATTATTCCCAGAATTTTTTATACATAAATATCAATAGGTGAATTTAATGAATTTTTATTTTATTGCATGTAATTCCATTGAATTTAATAAACCTTGTCAAGTACAAACAGTAATACATTTATTTGGCGCATTTCCCTGACTGATATTTTAATATTTTATTTTCTTTAAAGTTATTTATTTTTTCAATAATAACTTGAGATTTATCTCTTGTAAAGATATATTTTATAATTAAATCTCTGACAGCTGTATATCAATTATAAAAAATAATTATTACAAAATATATATACTATCTATAAATATTTAATATATCCTTCCACTAGAATAGGAGTAAAAATAAAAATATTGTTATATTTCATTAAAATTACTAAAACATTTTTTAAAAGTTTCTCAACTATTTTTAATAACGATAATATATTGCGTAATATCTATTGTTTAATCTTATATCGAATAAATTTTTTGAGACGCAAAATTTTAATAAACATAACTTTATATTTAATAATATAAATATTTACAACGTTTTAACTAATGGAATGTATCCAGAAATTTTTTTATAAAATTATTCTACTAATGTAATAATAATTATTTATACATTTTATACTAAAATTAATATAACATAATATATTGTGATGAAAATAATACATTAAACATAAAAATTATCAAGGCACCATTAATTAATCTAATTTATAAAAAAAAAAAAAAATTACGTATTACTTTTTTCCAATACATTTATCACATAATATGCCTTTTTTGGGTGTGGTGCATGCTTACACAAAAAAAATAAATAAATAGGGTATTAACATTGATACATTAATAAAAAATAACTCCGCGGAGTAAATTCTTTATTTTTTTTATTACATAAGAATGAAAAAAATATTTATTCGTTTAAAAATTACAAAATGCGTATTTAATAAATTTTTTTAATTATTGTGGCAATTTTATGATACTGAAGTTAGCAAACGTCTAAAAATTTTTGATTTTTTTAAATTAAATTACAACTAAAAAATTTCACTTATAGTTTTTCAAGTTTTTTACAAGTGAAATTTTTTAATTGTTTAATTTTTTCAATAAAAAATTTTGAAATGTCGGCTAACTTTATTTTCATGCAATTTTTAGGATCTAATAATAAATAAATTATTATAGAAATAAAAAAGAACTTGAAGAAATTAAAAAAAAAATATTGATGCAATTAATCCTAAATATTGAAATTTATTTGTTACATCAAACTAAGGAAAAAAATTATATTAATTTAAAAAATCTCGAAATACAAATTTTGTAATTTTTAAACAAATAAATTTTTTTTTATTTTTATTATACATATAAAAATAAATAAAGAATTCACTCCGTGGAGTTTTTTTTTATTAATGTATCAATGTTAATACTCTATTTATTTATTTTTTTTTTAATTGAATGTCAAACGCTTACGATTTGAAATAAGGGTTGTGTAGAGATAAATTATGTAGAGATTAAAATCTGAGAATTATTATGTTTATTATTTTTATATGTGTAGTGATGCCGCGGTATAGAATTAGTCTAGAGATTTTTCTATGTGAAAAGAAACGTATCAGCTTGACTCGTATAGAGATAAATTTTGTGAGTTCTCAAAATGGAAACAAATTCTGTGTAGGCTTGCACTACACCCCTTTTTTTAATTAAATATTAATTTATTGGCGAAGTTATTGCATTGCCCTGAATATTAATTTTTAATCGGCAAGTTTCAATTAATTTTTTGATTATAAATATCCCGGTTATCAATATATAATAAAAATGCAGTTTTAAATTTTAATTTTTTACATTTAAATTAAAATTATCTAAAAAAAAATAACCGGGTGATTTTTCAACATAAATTACCAGGGCAAATTTATGATTAACGCATTAAATTAATAACAGTAGATTAATTAATTATAAAGACAATAAAACAAAAAATATGGTATTACTTAAATCATAAATTGAGTAGACTTAAAAATATATTGAATAATGAATTAACTAGAGTTAATATTGAGCAATAGTTTGAGCACTAGGTGTGATTGACTCGATGATTCTGTACATAATATCGATTGTCATTTTGATAACTTATTTTTTTCTTATCACGTTACTTATTAACTATTTATATATGAGATAAAAAATACATATAATCTAAGCACATCTTTGTATTATATAAACATTTTTATTTTTCCTATTAATAACTGTACATACATTAAAAAATTTTTTTAAATAAAATGCGCTCAGATTATTTATACTTTTTATAAGGTATAACTATTATTTTTAACAATATCATTTATTTATTGGATTTCAATAATTAATTATATAAAATACGTTTTTTGTAAAAAAGTTTTCTGTAATAAAGGCACCTTTTTTGAATAATAATAAAGTTAGCCGACATTTTTAATTTTTTGATTTATTTTTTTAAATTAAATTATTTTTTTTTTTTTTTTTTTTTTTTTAGATCATGACAGAAGGCCAAAAAGTAATACCTAAACGAGTACTTGAGTATGGTTTCGAGTATTCGTTTCCACAAATTGATGAGGCATGTCAACAATTTGCTGATATCGCTTATCCGCATTCATATTAGTAACTGAATAGCTTTTCTCTTTGTTATAAAAAAAAAATTAAAATACTAGTCGATACTTGAAAATTCTTTGAAAAATAAAGTAGGTCATGAAAATTATTTAAAAATAATTGCATTTATAATTTTTTAGAGCTTTAATTATGGAATTTTTGAGATTAATTTTCCTTGCTACAGTTTATTTGTTTAAAAAATTCTAAAAATTATCAAATATCTCTTAATTTTATGAAAATTAAGTTAGCCGACATTTAAAAAATTTTTTTTCATTTTCATTTTTGTTAAAAAACTTTAAAAACTGTAAGTGCAATTTTTAAAAAAATATTTTTTTGTTCTAATTTAATTATTAAAAAAAAATTAAAAACATGAAATTTATTTGCGAAAATTAATGGATCTCTATTTCTATAATATTGTTACGAATGAAATATTATTTATACTGTTGTATTTGTAGTATTTAAATAAAATTTTAAAATATAATTGATAATTGTCATAATTTTTTTTGTTATAAAACGCTTGAAAAGTATTTTCAATGTTTCTGTTTTACTAAAAATCAACATCAAAAAATTATGAAAATTAAATTAGCCGACATCTAAAAAATTTTATGATTTATTTTATTAAAGAATTATTATGACATCAAAGTTAGCAGACACTAGAGAATTTTTTAATTTTTTTTAACAAAAAAATTTGTTCAAAAAAATTGCATTTTTAATTTTTAAAAATTTTTACATGTCAATTTTTTTAAAATTATTTTTTCGCCATAATTTATTTGTTAAAAAAAATTCTAAAAATTATTAAATACCTGCTAAATTAATTGTTATAGAATTGTTACAAAAAAATTTTTATCACTTCTTAAAAACTACAAAAACTATAAGTGCATTTTTTTAAAAATATTTTTTAGTTATAATTTAATAAATTAAGCAAAATAAAAAAATTAAAAACTTTATTATTATAAAAAATTTTATATATTTTGAGTATTTAAAACTGTTTTATCGACTGAAACCCTAGTAAAAAATGTAAAAAATAAAAAAAGTAAGTATAAAATTCAAAATGGCTGATGCGATGCGCGCTCAGCTGTTGTTTACCGACAAATGCGTGTCAAAGAAACTAAACGAAACATTGTAAAGCAGATTGGATTGGTGAGTAAGGTTCTAAGTTTTTTTTTGTTCACCATTTGTCGACAATTATTATTAGTTAACATTTAAAAACCAGTGTGTTCTATTGTTATAACAATAATACTCAAGATAATGGAACTTTGGAGTAATAATTTAAGTAATCCATTAAAAATAACTGTTAATTAATCTACAAAAGTATATAACACCGTAAGCCAACGAATAATAATAACAACAACAGTTCTAGAAATAATAATAATCACACCAATAATAAAAATAATCACAATAATAACAACAACAATAACAAAAGCATCAACGTGAATGTGTGATCAGTAAAATAATAAAATAAAAGAGACAAATCGATGGGGAAAGCTATCAGAAGCAGGTCAGCGATGATATTCAATATTAAAATAACGAGTAACTGACCTGACTTTTCTTCAAAACAATAAAAGGATCCAGAGGAACAACGCATGATATATTATTTTATGAAGCGTTAAGGTTAATGTTCTACGTGTGGCCAAAGGGACACTAAGGTCAGTTTTTTATATTCTTCATACTCATTTATATTCGTATCAATAATTCATACTCAATTGCTGTTCATAAATACATTGAATGAAAATTAATGTAGCACATATTTAATAATTTTTTTAATTTTATAACAAATAAATTACGGCAAAAAAAAATTGACATTTAGAAATTTAAAAAAATAAAAATGCAATTTTTCAAAAATAATTTTTTGGAACAAATTTTTTTGTTAAATAAAATTAAAAAATTGTCAAGTGACTGCTAACTTTAATTTCACCAAACAAATGTGTTCCAAAAAATTATTTAAAAAAAATTGCATTTTTAATTTTTTAAAATTTCTAAATGTCAAATTTTTTTTGCCATAATTTATTTATTAAAAAAATTATCAAATATCTGCTAAATTAATTCTTTCAATTTATCACAATTAATTAATTAGTTTAAATTCAACCCGATTTTTTATTTTCACTTTGTAGAACTAAATACACTAACAATTGTTTCTACATGTCTGAAGTGAACTTTTTTTAAACAAAGTATCTACAATAATGGCCGATAGGTGGCGCCACGTCGCGGTTAACGAATTTACGCAGTCAAACTTATCGTCCGCCATATTTGTATGCGTCCCGGTGAATTTATAACAGCGTTGTTTTGTTTTGTTCTTCACATAGTAATTTATGAAGAAATGTCACTGTATACTGTAATAATATTCTTTCAAGTACTGTTTTTATGTTTTAGTGAAATAAAAGTGTAAATTGTGAAATTATATTCCATAAAAACATATAATAAAATAATACGCAGTATATTTAAGCGGCTTTCCAAAATAACTGTCATCCAATGCTGCTAAAGTGAACTTTCAAAACAGGTATTTCGCAAAATAATTTTTCTTATAATTTTTAAAAAATATTTTTATAAAATTATTTAAAAATTTTTCTTTAATTATATGTATATTTTATAATTTACAATGATACTAGAGTTAGCTGACAACTGTCAATTTTTTTTTTATTTTTGTAACAAATCAATTACAATAAAAAAAATTTCCATTAATAATTTTTTTTTAATACTTATTTGATGACATTCAAGCTAGCTGTCACTTAATAATTTTTTAATTTTATTTAACAAAAAAATTTGTTCCAAAAAATTATTTTTGAAAAATTGCATTTTTATTTTTTTAAATTTCTAAATGTCAATTTTTTTTTGCCGTAATTTATTTGTTATAAAATTAAAAAAATTATTAAATATGTGCTACATTAATTTTCATACTTATTTGTGGAATTTTTTAATTAAATTTTTTTTAACAATAATTATAAAATAGAAAAAAAATTTCTAATGTCAGTTAACATCAGTGTCTTGATTCATAAACAATAATATTGAAATCAACAGTTAAAATTAAATGACACTTATCAAAAAAATTGACAACTTTAAAAACGAATTAATTAAAAAAAAAATATATCTATAATTATTATCTCAAATAATTAATTTTCTTAAAATAAATAACCACCAAAACTGTCAATTCGCATAACTGTGTTATAAATTTATTTAGTTAAAATCACTGGCAATTGTTCACTATCTAGTCAAAAACTGGTCTCTGTTTCTAAACTAGGCTCTTGTTTAAAAAGTCGAAACCCCGCGACGGTATTATTGTCATCATGAGAAGTAATGGAAGTTAAGTCGCGTAAAATCATGACAGGACTGCCCGCACTCAGCATATGATCTTGAGGACTCAAAGGCCCGGTGTTAGCTGGCGTCAAAGGGCTACTGGGGCTTTCATTGCTACTTACATAACTTCCCGGGGGGTTTGATATCGGCAAGGATGTCGACGCGCCGTTCAATTCTGCAGACGCGCCACCAAGTAGCATTTCCTGGAGCAAACTGTCGATGTGCGCGACTCCGAATAGCCTCACAAATTGAATTTGCTCAATCATCTGCCATGAAATAGACTGTAGTGCCGGTAACGTTAATAATATCTCGCCGAATCTTCCACGGCTGTCGTATTGCCGGTCGCTTATGTAATCCTCGAGGTTTATTTGGATTTGGTAGCGTAGGTGTTTTATTCTTGCCGGTTCGCTCAATCCTTTAGCGTCTGGAACAAGTAGTTTGAAGATTAGCTATTATTATCACTAGCAATCTGCAATCACAATGCGACTGCCGAGATTTACGAATTATGGATAAGAGAATTTTGGCTCATTAATTTTTTTATATTTATAATCACACTATACATAGTTTGGGTACTTTTTAAATAAATTTTAAAAATAATAGTGCTATCACAAGATCAATTACAAATAATTTAATGGACAAATTTGACCGAACAAATTTATAGAATCAAAAAAACTATTAAAAACTCCTCCAAAAACTTGATATAAAAAATCAACTACTAAAAAATATATAAAACCAAAAGGCACTAATTTTTGTCTCGACTTCACTGATTTTACCAAATTAAACTAAGGTAAAGTACCCAGTAGTTGAACAGGTTTCAAAGTAAAACGTATTTGACCCTACTTTTAATATATAAAGATGTAATTATTAGTTCAAATTAGTGATTTTCATGAAAATATAAACAATTTTGAATTCATTGAAGTGCAAAACAACGCAAATAATTGAATATTTATAATTTGACAACGTTTTTAAGATAGACTATGAAAGGAGTAGTAGTTGAACAATCAATTCTGACAAGCCGCAGTAGTTGAACTAATAAAATATATGGCAATAGGCACACCAAAAATTTTTAACGTTTTATTGAAATATTCAAAGATTTATAATATATTATTGAATAATATTAAAAATAATACTGTGGATATTTAATATGTTCATTTAAAAATGAGAAATATTTGTATTTGATTTATTAATTACATTTTTTATGAATGACAAAGTAAATTTTCAGTTATAAATAAAAAAAACTCAATTCAAAACGTTCAATAATTTTTAACTATACTAATTTTTAGTTATAAAACTTATTTAATTTGCAATAATTAATACAAATCACAGTACTGATCACTAGTCTATAAACCTATTGAAGGTTAGAGTGCTGTTAAAATTATATGGTCCCAGTTTGTTCAAGTTCTGGGTACCGCTTTGAAAATTGGGATGTATAGTTGAACGCTAAAATTTAATGTAAAAATTATAGTTTGTCTTTGCAAAAAATATGTAATATTTAGAAAATACTATTTCATTGGGTGGTACAATTTTTTTCACTTAAAATGATGATATACCGTTTTTTTTACTGATTGTTCGGTTTACGGTTTAGTACCTTTTTCATGAAAAAAATAGCATCTATTAGTTATTCTCGACATGTCAACTTTAAAGTTAACAAAAATGTAATTGTTTTGATTTATAATTGAAAAAACTTATCAAAATCAATTACTGTATCATTGAATAATTATAACATGCGCATATGACTCATAATAAATATACAGATTTTGTATTACAGCAATTCTAAAAGTCTGTTCAACTACTGGTCCCATTTTTAGAAGTGTTCAAGTACTGCAGGGTACTTCACCTTATAAAAATTCCTTTAAAAATGATAATATGCTAGTCAGAAAATTTTCCTTACTCTCTCAATTATTTAAATCATAAATAACTATCGCTAAAAAATATCAAACCCAATTTACGATAAAGATATACGCGTTAATAAATTTTTCTTAGTCTCTTAATTATATAAATGAATCATTATTCTATAAATAAATAAATTAATTTTTGATATATAACCACATTCACGTGTACAAAACAAAATAAATAAATTAACAAATTTTATTTATCGCTAAATTAGAATCTATTTATAACTACTTCAAAAACTTAGGGTAATTATTTATAAGTTGGGTCAACCTCATTTTGGGCCATTACTATAGGTGAAAAATTAACATTTAAAAATTTGTTTCTGATTGTTTTTACGGCGCATTTATGATAAAAAATGTCATGAAAGGAAAAAATAAATATTTCGATAGCTTTTTTGCCTTTAAAAGTTGGAAAAAATTTTTGCTCTCATGTTTTTGGATAAAATTTCTATTTTATCTTTTTTCAATGTTTTTGACATCAATTTTTTTTTTTTTGAAAAGTACATAAAAAGACGAACAATTGAAAAAAAAATTGATCAATTTGATAAAAAAAAAAAAAAATTTAACATGGGCTAGCATGGGTTGACCCCACTTGTAAATAATTACCAAATTTATTATAATAAATAAACCATTTTAGAAAAGCATATGAAACATTGAAAAGGCACTAATTCAGGTTTCGACCTTTCCAATAATACTAAATTTCATTTAAAAAACTCATTTTATCACATAAATGCGTGAGTCAAAATTTTCCTTATTCTCTTAATTATATAGATTACTGTTGATAAAAAAAAATAGCGAGCAAATTATTGTCATACTTGGATCAAAAAATACGATAGCTTTTAGGCAAGCAAATTCGGTGTCATCAATCTGAACTTCATTAAGCGGCTTCACCAATTCCTCCATTATGCGTATGCCGACTCTGCTGATATCCAGGTCTTGGTTACGTCCATCTGTGGGCAATGATATCACTGATAACCAGAGTTATACCGTTCGTATAGTTTGTTACGACTGAGTCCGGCATGGGATTCATGTTTTTTTATTTTTTTTTTTATATATTACATTTTTTAACCAACAAACAAAACGTTCCATGCAACATTCATTACTATTAAAGACAAAGACAAATGCCGAACTCAGCCAACTAGCTACACCCCAATAACGTGCACTTGAAATGTCCAGTTTTGTGTTTAGATAACTATCTACTTTTATTTTATTTGATATGATAGAAAGCAATCTAAAAGAAAACTAAGTTACTTAATTTAAGAAAAAGATTCTATGAGTAATAATTTTTTTAATATATAAATTCTTCAGTCAATATCAAGAAGTTGTAGTTTATGATTTTTACTTAATAATTAATTTTAATTAAAAAATAATTACAGTAATTCGGCCATGCATTTTTATCTTCGATACTCTCATCGTTAGGGATAAAATATTAAAAGAAAAAAAATTAAATTTTCATGCCGAAAAAAACTGGACAATTCGTCTCCATTTTTAGTCCATTAAAAATATTTCTCCGTCACAATTGAGAATGTAAAATTAGTCAATTGTAATTTTTAAAAAAATTAGCGCATAGCGAAATAAGATGGAAGAATTCAAGCTAAAAATATTTTCTTGCGAAGAAACCATAGCAATTAAGCAATCATATAAAAATGCTATTAGTTATTAAAAACATTTCCCAGGACTATCATTCACGATTAATTATTAATTATCATTATTGTAATTATAAACAATAAACATGCATTGTAATTATGCAATACAGAAGTACAGTAAAATGATGCAATTGCTTGGAACTCAACGTACCAGGACAGCTCTTGGTGATGATACAATTGTTGCCAAGTAGCAGAACATCATTGAGGTGCATGCTGCGTCTTGCAACGCCTAGAAGAAGATGCTCCCCGGCATGGGCTCGTAGTAGTGCCACTTGATCATCAAGAGTAAGTTCACTGAATGCCGGAATGTACTTGGCCCACTCAACGAGTATTAATAGTTGCTGTTTCATACTATCGCACACGTCATTTATGTTTGCTATCTGCTTGTTACTGAGATCAGTCTCGTTACTCGGGCTTCCCAATTGTTGGACCTGGAAATTATTTTTTTATTATAAATCTTAGCTTTTTTCAAGCGCACTTTCAAAGAAAAAATTTATTTAAAAAAAAATTGACAATTTTTTAATTAGAAATTAATTTTAAAAAAATTTTATTTTTTAGCTAAAGAAAAAATTTTTTTTTAACAGCAATTTTCTTGTTGAAAAAAAAGTTTTTAGATTTTGGAAAAAGAAAACTAAAATCTAAAATTTTTTCTTCAAAAAATTTTTTCTTTAGCTAAGAAATAAAATTGTTTAAAATTTTTTCATAAATTAATTTCTAATTACATTGTCAATTTTCATAAAAATAATTTTTTTTCTCAGTGCAGCGTAAAACCAAATAAAAACTCAAGATTTTACTTTCAAATTTAAATAGAAATTCTATTTAAAATATTTTTCTCAAGCTTAAAAATGAAATAAGCTACATTGTAAAAATTATTTCAGCTGACTAATTTAACAAATTATTTAAACATGAGGTCAAATGTTAAGAGTTAAAATTCCCAGACTATTTTCTCTTATTAGCAATATACTTTTAAATAAATTTGATTGCCAAAATTTAAACGTTTCCAAAATTCCAAAACTTTTTCTTCGTACACAAAATATCACTCGAGTCATTGTACGATAAATATTAACAATCTAAAATTTATTGAGAATGATGACGGGAAAAAAAAGGTTATTTTATTTGAACGGATACTGTTATGTTTTTATGTTTTATGCGTCCCGGACATTTCCGCGGTCAGACTTACTTACAGCGACGGTATGGGTAAAGATTTATAAATATTCAATGAGAGGGCTAAATTAAACTGACCTCTAAGGCCGCCCCGACTTGTCTACTGAGCATTTCAGCTTGCAGCAAAGAGACCACTGACAGACCACCTCCATTGCTGGTTTGCTCTTCATAACTCGGTCTTCTGCAGCTTATTCTATCGCGTTCATTTTGCACCGCTGAAATATTTTTATATAATAATTATCAATAATTAATGACTAAAAAATTATTAAAAAATCATCGTACCTTCTTTTTTCATTCCGGCTTTGAAGCATTTCCGTAGCCTGCAATATCTGCACTGGTTTCTTTTATCTTTATCTACAACGCAATTTCTATTAAATCTGAAATAAAAAATCCAATTAAAATTTTTTTTATAAACTTTTAATTACAGCGCATGTAAAAATTTCATTATGTCTGCAGTATAAATTAATAACTTTGTTTTTTTAAGTCGCCAATTGAAATTCAATGGTTGTCGATTAAATTTTTTTTTATTATCAATCAAAAGATAATTTTCTACCGTTGTGTAAGTATTGAGTGTTGACTAACCGGCAAGTGTATAAGTGATTTTTTCTGACCGATCGCCGGAAAAATCCTTTGCAGCCGTCACACGAAGCGGCGCCGTAATGTTTTCCTGTCGCTCTGTCACCACAAATAGCACAGTGTTGAGATAGTACTCCAGTTCCTGACCCAGGAATTCCTAGAACTGACCCACCGGTACCACCGGCTCCCATACTGAGATCAGTATCTGAAAAAAATTTTTATAAATTAGTATTCTTAATTGAAAATTTTTTTATTTAGATTATACTATTTGGAGAAAAAATAAAATTTTTAATGGGCAAAAAAATTTTTTGGTCAAAAAAAATATTTATAGACAAAAATAACATTTTTTTTCATTTATTTTTTTTAAATTAAAGTAAAAAATTTTTCTGTGTAAACTTTACTAACTATTGTTTCTATACATTGTATAGAATTATTATTATTATATATTTAAATAAATAATTAAACCATGAAAAAAAAATATATATATTTTAAAATTCATCGAAGTGAATAATTAAAATCAAAAGAGTTTTTTGATAAAAAAAATATTGTGTGGTTTTATGAAACCATGATGCAAGAAACTTTTTTTGGATTGTTGACATTCAACTAAAAATTTTCGGAAAACTAATCAATTCAGGGTATTAAAATCGCGATTTTAATCCTAACTTGATAATTGATAAATGAAGGGACAGCCCAAGGTATGTTGCCGCGATTGTGGTTTTAGTTATTAACGGATCTTAATGAAACTTCGTACACATGTTTCTCAGACGATTACCTCAAATGTTCAAAGATGAGCTAAGTCGATCAATAAGTTAAAAAATAATAGCCATTTCAATTTTTCTGAAGATAGTGAAAATTGCATTTTCTGTATTTTCATTTCTAAAGATCATTTAATTGAAATAAGATAGCTTATTTCTTGAAAATTTATCTTAAGGCTGATAAAATTGCGTCTTTAATTTGATCTATAAAACATTTACCGAATGATGATTTTATAAAGATTAAGAATTTCAATTTCTGCCAGTCTTTGGAAGACGGGTTATATTAGTCCGTGTAATAGAACTAACGGTGGTTTGGTAATAATAATTTAAGAATTTATTGTTTGACATAATTTTTTTAACTATTAATAATATCGAAATCTACCTTCCAATTCAATTATTTTATCAATAACTTTAATTTCGCCATGAGTCTCGCAGTTTATAAATGTAACTAATATTTCATAGTAACGAAAATAATGCGACATTCGATAGATAAATGAAAAATTTTGGAGCGATAGAAAAACAGTTTCACTTTAAAAAAAGTTATTTCTCAAAAATATTTGATCCAGATATGATATATAATTTTTTAATATTCAAGTATTTATTTATTTATTCATTTTTTATCTGTTATTAAAAAAATTGGAAATGTATATCTAAAATCTTCTACGATTGGTCTTATCGTCCGTAGACACATACTCATATTCTTCATCACCGTAAAGTCAAGAATCGTGATAACATTTATCGGGAAGAAAGTTTATATATGTTTTGTTTCGTATACAACCGCGACAGTAAAAACATTTACAGATATAATATTTAATATCAATGTTATATATTTAACTTGATTTATATAAAATGGCAACATTACACGTGCTGTTGTGATGATGATAATTTTTTAATATTAATTTTTTTTTATTTTTGCAATAGTATTGGTCATGCGCCAGATACAATGAGAATATTAAAGATAAGAACAAAAAAATTTTCTCAACGTAGGATATAGGTACAATTAAAATATTTATTAACAATTAAAATAGAATATTTAATTAATACACTACGGTTTAATGAGTTCCATGGTAATTAAAAGTTTATCTACTAGACGGACATGATATGTTACAAATAATAATTATGCAATGATTATTAAACGGTCTAAAACACATAAACTAATAATGATAATAATATACTAAATATTCGAATGATATGTAATGATGCATAGTGATTATTTGACTACATAACGTATTATCCATTATATAATTTTATAATTATATTTACCGAAGCAACACGGAGAAGAAAAGTGAAATATAAATTATGTATGCTTGTATTTTATTTACTGATTCACGTAACAAATAATCTTTTTTTTACTCAGATTTATTATTATTAATTATCTGTAATTATTATAACATTACTCAGATCTATGATTAACGGATAGTATGCTACGGCGCAATACAAATAAGATGACATGATTTTTCATTTTTTCATGTCAATTCTTGATGTATATTTTTAAAATATTTACTTTGGATCATAAGTTACACACATTTTTTATTTAAACATTTTGTTTTCTCACCGACATTAGAATAAAAGTATTTTATTTTTCTACATTAAAAATTTATCAAATAATGGAGATAATTTTCAATAAGTTTAAAATAAAAAAATTCATTATATTGTAAAAAAAATCTCGATTATTGTAAATATTTTATTGACTTAATTTTATTTTAAACTAATTGAAAATTAGTTTAAATTTTTTGTTACGTTTTTAATGAATCGTAATTTTTAAGTTATTAAACTACACTGAAAAAAAAAATTAACTTGAATTAAGAGAAAAATTCTTGAACGAAAAAAATTATTTTGAAAAATTTAATTGTTTTGAATCAAGTAAAATATACTTAAAACAATAAAAATTTCTTTTAGAATTTTTCTACTCAAATTAAAGTTCTTTAAAATTATTTATTTAATTCAAATATTAATAAGTTATATGAAACAAAGAATAAGTATACAAGTACATATTTTTATTGCATTGTTGCAAAAAATTTTCCCAATAAAATAATATTAAATTCACTACCGTAACACATTAATGTAACATTTTAAGCAATGAAACGCAATAAAAATAATCAATAATCGCGAATTTGAAATATCAAATCCAAAATGACAGCTCATAGACTTAAATAATATTTATTACTGTTAATATTGATGATACTCATATTATTATTTATTACATACTAACTAAAAACAGTTCAGGTCATTGAACACAATTCTACTGATAGGTAATGTAAATTGTAATGTTTATAATTGAGAAATACTTTTATGCAATTGCTATCGATATCAAATGGAATTTCTATAATTTTTTACAATATTGTGTTATATTATATTTAGTCATTCTGTTATTAACTTATCAATATATTCTCAATGACTAGCATAAAATAACATAGTAAATTCTTAACATAATAATTTATATAAAAATTCATGAGACGTTCTCTTAATTGCTCTGTAAAATGTTATACTTATTATACAAATTTTTTATAAAAATCTTAAGCTTCATTACAACATTTTTAAATCCCCGGCTTTTTCACCTGATGATTTATTTATCGATACAAGATATTCATCTTAAATATAACAGATTATTCTTCTGATATAATACTTATTTGAAATAAAAGTAAAAGACATGCAATAAATAGTTATAAGTGATTACTGATTTTTATTTATTTAAATATTATCTATTATGTTACGTGATATCGTTATTTTTTTCCCACAAATATATCAGTATATTATTTTAAAATAATTGTTCAAGTGACTTTAGAGATAAGTTAAGATTTAATACATTCAAATTTAATTACAAATAATATTAAAAATAAAATAAACGATAGATTTAATCTTTTTCAGTGCTTATTTAATGTCGCGATAATTGTCTTAACTTTATCAGTGTGTCCAATTTTGTGAAATTCCATAAACGCTTTATATATTCATTTATATCTTATCTTTTATTATTTTTAAGTAAAATAATATTTTAGGAGCTGAGATTTTCAGAATTAAAAGATTTTGTTTTAAATAATATTTAATTAATAAAAACGGTATACAAATAAGATTATTTTATTTTATCATCAGCTATGAAAAGTTATTTTTTGTTTTATTAAAAAAGGCCTATAAAGAGCTTATATCAATACATAAAAAATTAAAATTTATTATCGATAATTAAAATTAAATTTATTTTTAGTGTCGCACGAAATAATTTTTTTTTTTTCATTAATTTATATTGTGGACATTTTAAAATAACCCGCCTTTAGATAGTAGAAGTACAATCTCAAAATGTATTAATTATAATCGAATTAAACAGAGTTAAGTTAAGATTCTTTAAAAGGGTTTTTTGAATTAATTTTATGGAAGGATTAAACAAAAAATAACGTTGAAAAATTTTATTTTTCAAAAGTTATCGTGTTGACAAAATTCTGACTTTTATTTAATTTTATATAAAAAATTTAATTACACAGAAAAAAAAATTAATTTGAATGAAGAAATAGTATATTACATACCTAGGCCAGTAAAATAAGAAAAGTCTCAGATCACATGTAATTGTTGGCCGAGGCGAAGCCGAGGTTGACAAACATGTGATCTGAGGCTTTACTTTTTACTGGCCAAGGTGTGTATACTATTTTTCTGCTCGACGTAGCCGGAATGTGGCAACTTTGTTTAGCGCAGCGGCCAGAAAGTTGCCACTTTCCGGCCGGAGGGCAGAAAAAAATTTTTGAACCAAGAAAATAACTTTGAAGAGTTCCACTGTCTTGAATCAAGACGAAAAATTATCGAATTAAGTCAAATTTATTTAAACCAAGAAAAATTTCTTGGCTTAAGAATTTTTCTACTCAAATAAAAAAAATGAAATTTTTTAAAATTATTTACTTAATTCAAGAACATTTTTTTTCTGTGTCGTAAAAAACAAGTGTGAAAAATTGCTAGCTTAATAAGTACTTCATACATGCTTGTAAATTTTCGATTGAGATATTTTTCTGTTCTTTAGGAACTATAAGTTCAGAAAAATAACTCATGGTAGAAATTCACGTTTAATGCACTATTAGAAGGATTTATTAATTATTAATAATTTAATTTATTTGAAGACAATTTTATTTGATTTATTAAATTTTAATAAATATTTTTTAACATTCAATAAACATTTATTTGGTAGGAAAGTACATTTATTAATAGTTGATAAGTATTTATTGATAGTTAAAAAAAATATTTATTACCAGTTAACAAATATTTTGTTGAGTGAATTTGTTTCGCTTGCAATATCATATGATATGAAGATTGCTTATAAACAAAAATCATCTTTATAAATTATTTGCATTAATTATATGACCTTATAACAACATTTATCGCAAAATACCAAATTCTATCGCAGCTCATAATCATCTTTTATAATTGTAAATATTAAAAACGTCTATTTATTTAATGAATTTAATTATTAACATGTATTCCAGCTATAGAGTTATAAAGTGTCAAAAGAAAATTGCTATTTTTGCTTTTTATTTTAAATAAATATTTGTTATCTTTTAACAAATATTTATTAAATCCTATGATGTTAAAAAATCATTTATTAACAGTTAATAAAGCTTATTAAATATAAAAAAATCCTTCTATTAGTGTGGAAAATGTCTTAAACAAAATAAAAATTCCATATTAACTCCATAAGTTAAGATATAAAAAATAAACTAAAAATTGAGTTTTTAAATTAGGTAGAAGTTTCATTCATCAAAAAAGCACTCGGGATCGTTTACGTCGGTAAACATGAATATTGATATTAATAAAATGATAATGATAATTTTAATGCTAATAAAAGTGTTTTGTAAATAAAAATATAATAGTACGAAATAATAATGAGAGCCAATTATAAATTCGTTCCGGTGTCTGGCGATTTAATAAACATATAGTTGAATAAAGACGAGTTATAGTATACATTTGGACTTTAAACTAACACAATGCCTGTGTACGCTAGACACATTATCCATCATTCATCATCATACTGATATAAATATTATGTATTGCTTGTATATTGGGGAATTCTGAGGGAATTACGAGCACGATTATTATTATGACGACAACCTAACCTACCGCAATGTTTTGATTCCAAAGTCTAATGTGTCGCATCGTTCTCGTTATTATATCATGGGCATATGATAGTTATATTTCGTTTTGTGTGTACAAATTTGTACACGTGCTACCCATAACACTACACTAGTTTATTTACTTATCGTGTAATCTAATTATCAACTATTTATTTTTAAATCAAATTCATCCCAAATGATAAGGTAAAGTACCCAGTACTTGAACACTTCTAAAAATGGGACCAGTAGTTGAACAGACTTTTAGAATTGTTATAATACAAAATCTGTATATATATATTATGAGTAATATGCGGTTGTTATAATTATTCAATGATACAGTAATTGATTTTGGTAAGTTTTTTCAATTATAAATCAAAACAATTACATTTTTGTTAACT